ATACTTAATAAAATATACTTTGAATATATTTTAAATATATTTTAAGTATATTTTAAATATCGTAATTTTTATAAGGTTTAATAGGAGATCAAATTCAAAATGTAATAGTGGAGCTAGTGTCAAGACACATAAATCTTTTTAAATGTTAAAAAGTGATTGGTGTGAAGATTTTTCACACATATATAACTGAACCAACTGAGGCAAGTATAATACTTGTACCTAGTAAGGAATCAAAAGAAATTTCAGAAGCTGAGATTAGTATATTACCTGAGATACAGAATGCCATTTCTCCTGAAATAAAGTTAAGTCAGAAATTTAGGTAAGTATATTTAATAAACTCCAACCTCTAATTTTTGTTTTATCTAAAGATCCAGAAGAAAAATGAGCTCAAGTAATTAAAATGGCATTAGAGTATTTTCCTTATCTATCTTTGAAATATAGTGATAAATATGACAACAATTTTGATTATCCAGATATATGTTCGGTATATGATAAAAGACATAAAAAAGATAATGTACAAGGTCAGTGAGATGCTAATAATTATTGTGGCAAAATAACCTATCGTTTTAATTGTTGGGAGGTGTTCAGAAAGAAATCCCAATAGTAACTACAAAAATGTAAAAATTAATATAGTATTCAATCAAAATTACTGTAAAAATATGATCATCACACAAATAGCGAAGCTAGTATCAAATGTACTATATCAGGAAATTTTTGAGAACGAATATATCTGAATAAATTTTATAATATGCAGATATATGCGGATATATTTGGAATATGCGAATTAATGTGTGGGTGGTCGAATATATCTGAATATATATTTGCGAATTTATTCAGATATATTGTGAATTTATTCGGATATATTCGCATATATTAGAATTTATAAATTACAAAACGGAAATAATTTATCATCGTTACGACGTAATAACTTTTTATTTTAATAAGTAAATATCAAATACTGCATTAAGTAAGTTGAAATATAAAAAGGTTGTGCATTTCCTGTAAAAATTTCAGACCTATATCATCAAAATTGAGCAAATTATGAGCGATTAAATTTCGAATGGAAATAATTTATTGTGTTCGAAAATAACTGTTCATAATTTACTTAATTTTGATGATATAGGTCTGAAATTTTTACAGGAGATGGATTTAAGCCATCATCCTATAAATACATAATAGTATAATTCATAAAAACATCTGCAAGCAAAAGTATATTGTATTCAAGATAAAGATCATGGTATTCACTGAAATTTGTTATTCCAAATTGTCACCATATTTTTTGCATATGCTTATACACTGGTCAAATTGTGGAAAATCAGCACCTATCATACACCTATTAGGCACCTGATAGGTATGCAATAGATGCCCGATTTTAAATAAATTTTAATATATCGGGCTCCCGATAGGTAAAGTGAGTGTGCCGAAGTTCGGGCATATATCGAATACATATTAACAGATATCGGACACATATCGGACTTTGATTTTTTGGCATTTTTTTAAAATATATCATATACTTATCGGGCGCCTGATTTTATTTATTTTTTATCAGGCACATATCTTCAATATATCAGTATAATATATCGGGTATATATCGGTCACTGTATACTCCTCAATATCAGAAGCTTTTTTCTTACTATCAGATACCTATCGGTGACTTTTATTTATACATCAGGAAATTTTTCGGGGCGTAAATTTCCGTAATACAGACGGGACCCACGTAAATTTACATCCAAAAATTCAATTTTTTTGACTTTGGTCGCAATTTACGAGACAGGAAGCGATTTTCTACTAAGGTG